CCCCCGGGGCTAACAGACCTTGAAAGGGCAAGGCACGCAACCCACCGCAGCCAGGTAAGTATATCGATAAAGTTTTTATTATAAGATATATTTCTGCCAAAATAAATAGTTACATTTTCTTCAGCAAAATATTAGAAAAAGAGAAACAGGAGGGGAGAGGGGGAAAAAAAAAGCATCAACAGTTTTAATACTGAATTGTCAAAGTGACTGTGAGAACTACTAAATGACATTGCCATGTCAATACATCGCTCGCATACGCTATTGCTGGTCTAGTTGCTGCTCTGACATCAGTCGTTTCCGCAGAGCTCCGGTCTTCGCAGACTCGCCAACAGCAGCAGCATCCCAGGGAACATTTAGCTCGTGAAGATCTGCTTTAGATGCTGTTTTCCAGAGCAGGAGGAAACCCCAGAAGAAAAAAAGTATGCGTTTCAAAGTTACGTTTCTCATCTTCCATCTGGAGTTACAGGTTCCCCCTCCCTTTACAGGGAGGCTGGTGTGGATCCATGCAGTAAGATGGATCCCATTAATTCAAAACCGTCCTAGCAGAGCTGTGTGCGGACTGGAAACAGAGCAATGTCCCACCGGCAGCGGCAAGGGGAAGGAGGAAGAGGAGAGGGGTCTGAGTGCTGCTGCATTAAAGATGCAGACACCACAGGGAAACAGAGGGCAGGCAGGCCACGGCCCACGGTAAAGGCACAGGGCGAGTTTGGCACAGACCGGCTGATGCATCAGCCAGGTGAGATGCTCCATTCTCAGTGGTTTACAGGGAGAAAAGGGGAAGGAAAAAAAAAAAAGTGTTTAAGAACCACGTTGGCAAGGCCCTCTGACTTTGGCAACGCGCAACCCTGCCACCACAGGTTTAGCAGAAATGGGCCCCTAAGACTGGACAGTGCAGCATACAACAAAACAAAACCCCGTTAGTTTCGGGTGTTTCTCCCGCAACTCCTTTAGTGAAAGAGAGCGCTCTCCTCTCTAGGGAAGGGATTGAAAGCTTCACCACCAGATTACTAGATTCATTTAAAAAAAAATTAAAAAAGGACAAAGTAATGTGGAACATAGGATATGTACTGGGACACGCCAGTGCTGGGAGAGAGCAAGTCCTCATTTATTCCCTGGTCTTAGAGTTGCAGGTCCTCCCAAAGTCATGAGAAAGCAAATCCTAGGTCTTCCAAAGACTGGTCAGAAGTTGGATATTTCCTCCTCCCCCTTGAAAATCAGCTTGCAATAACATTAGCAGTAGGGCAGGCAACAAACCAAACCCAACATACCATACATTCATTGTGGCTTACAGAGCATGCTGGAGATGCACACTGTTGTGCGCAACATGAAACAACTCTACAGTGTTGTACAGGTTAGCAGCTCGTTAGATGCACTGCTAGCCTTGTTAAAAGCAGCAAGTAATATTTGTATCACAGGAAGCAGGGGGGGAAAAAAAAATAAGTGGATTCCTGAATGCAGAGACCCTTTATGTAAAGCAGTGGAAACTGCAAGGGTTGGGACCCTTGAGTTCAAGTGAATGTCATGGAGGCTTTTGGACACGGACTGCAAGATGAACTTTTGGTCCGGGAACCTGAGCCCTCTAACACCATATCCTGGAGAGCAGACAGGTCCTGACAAGTACCCACTGGGCTGCCCAGCCACACATTCCACTGAAGAAGGGACCAATAATTACCTTGTTCCTATAAACTTGATAAATATATGTTCATCAGCAGCTGCCAACCAGCAGATAACACATGCCATGAGGCCAACATATAACAAAGGCTTGGAGAAGAATTCCAGTTAGCGTCATCTTGATAAACCCCTCCAGGTCCAATCCAGAATCTATCAAGACAAGGCAGCCCTGCGTAATCAAAAGCCGTTCTTCAAAAGCAACCACAGGCCTTTTTCTGCATCTGCTAGGCTAGATCTTTCCTATTCTCCTCATCCTTTGTGATCTGTGATGAATGAGCAGCAAGAATTTCAAGTAGGTGCTTGAAACTTCTCTTAAGGAGGAGGAGGAAGGTAGTTTAGGGTATTATTTTTTTTTTGACAGATCTACTGTTCTTTGATCACAGTTAAAAAAAAAATCTATGAAGTCAACTAGCTATCACAACAGCCATTGTGCTACCTGGGGAATAAACACAGGCAAAGAAAGGGTTAATGCAGAGTGGTGCTTTCCCACTATCTGCTCACACCCTGCAAATTAGCATAGGGAAAGCAGGAGTTTCCTCCCTGAAGAATTGGCCCTTTGCATTTAAAGCCTAGCTTTGGTTTGTGGTTACAGTCTGAAGCGTACAAAAGCTTTTCTTTGGGAGGTTAATATAACAAACTAAAGATAGAGGAGGTTAAATAAAAAACAAAACTCAGGTCTTCACTAGCCACAGTGGTTAGTCTGTTGAAATGCATGGACCAGAAACAGCAAGCCTTCTGGATCAGAGCACTGGGAGAGGGTGGCACCAGTCCATTTGGTTCTGAGGCAAGGCAAGAAAAGAGAGGGGATGCAGAGGTCAAGCATGCCAAGCTGTGATTTCTTAGCACATTCTATTACCAAGAGAGTTTTATTTCATAGTTTAGTGGTTTACATAATCACTCAGTGGTTTTACCGGTCCAGGAAGAAGGGATAAAAAAAAAATAGTTGCATCATTCTCTCCACCCTTATATTAAAACAAACAAGGCAGAGTCAAGAGCACAGCAGCTTCAAGCACAAGATTTTCCCATCTCCTGGCTCTGCCCCTCACAGATGTTTTGCTTCTGGACGAAACCCCTTCATTTTATGCCACTAAGTATCTCCATGTTCTTGCCAATTGCTCTGCGTGCATCAGGAGCAGAGATACTACTTGGCAAGCTAAGCAGAAGTGCATGCCCCATTCCCCCAAAGAAGGCAGCCTAGAGCTGCCTGAGTGGGGGTTAGTGGGGGAAAGCCCACACCAAACCACAAAATGATGCTGAGTTTCATGGAATTTATCCTGCTGCCACAAACTGACAGCAGCTTGTTGCTAGTGCACCTAGACTACAGCTATGTCCAGCTAGCAGTGAGCTCCTTCTGCAGGCTTTACACAGTGTTACATCTTTAAGATTGACTTGTCTTATAATCCAATATTCCTAACTTCTGGTTTCAGAATCCTCCAAATTTCTCACTTCCACACTTGGTGACCTGCTCTTGCAAGTGTGATCAAGTAGATTCACTACTCTTTCTCCAGCCATCAGTAGAATTCCTGGGAATATTTCCCCTTTCTAAATCAAAGGGGCAATTACGAGTCTATTACAAATCACTTTTCCATATGTAGGTTACATAGCAGCTTCAGACACCCCATCCTGCTCCCCAGCAAACACAGCATGCATTTGCTTTGGCCAGCTGCACACTGTTTGTGCTAGGAGAGGCAGAAGAGGCTTCACGCAGCTAAGCAAGCTGCAGAAAACGATGCCAGGAGTTGGTTTTGTGTCCCAGTGCAAGGACTTAAACTTAAGTATGTGCAATCCCCACAGGAAGCCAAGTCTCACCCTGGGCTGATCAGAGAGTTTATGCTTCTACACAGCAAGTCGCAACCAGACCACCACTGAGAAGGCAGTAATTTATAAGGCAGAGTCCTGCCCTGCTGTAGGCCCACTAGCTTTGGTCTTTTAAGAGACAAGACAAATGTAGCCAATTCCAAGAGGGCTGTACGTACACTGATGCTCCTGACCTCACTTCCGCTTCTCATGCTCCTGCTATTGCCAGCTGCATTGCTGTACCACTTGCGAGCCATAGCGCGAGCAGTGGGGCTGACAGAGCTGGAAGCCTGCATCCCCATCACCCCCAAACCTCCGTGTCCAAATTCTTCCCCCTGTCGTGGTACCCACTTGGAATTTCCTTCAGTTGTATGGTCCCTTAAGGAGTGAAGCCTGACCCCTGTCAGAGGTAGCCCCTTCCCCACACTTGCTGTGGCACTCTACCACAAGCCTCTCAAAAGTAACATGCCCCACACAATCTCACCTTCCTACAAACACTTCACATTCCTTCCCCAATGTCAGCTGCTAGGCCAGTCCTTGGAGAGCCAGGCTGAGCTTTTCCAGAGCAACCTCACACTAACTCCATTCACACTGACAGGAATGGGGCCTCAAACTCAATGCGTTTCCTCTGGAAAAAAACAAACAGAAAAGCTTAGTCTAACCTAGTTCTTTAAAATAAGCTAAATGATGTAACACTCAGTTCAGACTGCAAAAGTTCCATCAGGACAAAAGTCACCTAGGGAGAGACCGCAACAACATTCATCAAGGTAAATGCATAATTTTCCTTCATGTCTGCAGTTGCAGTGTGGACTGCAACAGGACCAGCTCTGGCTTCCAGTGGGGATGCAGTTTAGAGACAGAGGAAAGGTTCTGGCTTCAGCAAAGAAGGAAGTCAAGAGGAAGTTTGGAAGCAAAGAGGAAAATTGGTTTGGCAATAGAGGCCACTTCATCCTTCAGTAGCATCAAGAGCTAAACAATGTCAGCTGATTTAAAAAACAGGATTCATAAGCTCCAAAAACCATAGGAAGCTAAAGCTATGTGAACTCCAGAGTGTCAGCTACATCCTGATTATTTGGTGGTAAAAACCTAACAGCAATTCAAAGTGCGTTATTTGGGAGAGCCCCGCTGGGTCAGCACCAGCTTGGCCATGGGAAATGGCCAGGCACAAGTCTAAAGCAAGGTGCCTGCACACGCGTTTCTTTGAACGCAAAGACCCCTTGCCTGGCCCAGCGGGCAATAAATGGCTACAGTCATTTCCACCAGTCTCCATCCCTGGGAAATCCTCTTTGCAGCATATTCAAGAGCACAGGACAGCAGGCTGCCAAGGGATGAGACTGGTCCCAACCTACATCCGCTCCCCTTCCCACCCGCCCCCATATCCTCGCGGCAGCAGGCTCAGAAGAGTGGCAGGCACTCTTTTGCATAGTCTAGAGGTGAAAGCTTTATCTGAAACCCTTCCTGAGGGAAGAGGGAGGCCTGCATGTCCACGTTGATGCAGAGTAAGCCCAGCATGAGCTGGCGCTGGTACTCCTCCCACTTCAGCATGACATCGGACAGGGAACGGTTACTTCTCATCCACATGGGCAGTGCTTCACCACATGCAGCTGCTGGAGAAATTGGCAGACTCTGGGTCCCTCCGAGCTCAAGGTGATAGTAAAGCCTGAAAGGCAAACACATGCAAGGAATCAGTACATGGAAAGCTTCACCAAATCAGAGCTCCAGAAATCACAGAATGTTTTTTTTTCCCTGCCACTAATGGCCTGCATGATCTTAAAGATCTTTTCCATGTGTGCCCATTTTCTCCCTCACATCTCTTGATTATTCAAACCACAAGCTCTTGTGGGTAAGAATCACCCCTCGTACTAGGATCTCGATCACAGCTAGGGCTTCTGGCTACTACTCCAATACAGAGTTTCCTATTCTGATCTATGCAATACAGTCTTGCCTCAGCCTCAAGCTACGGTCTACTCCAGGGAGTTCAGTTCAGAAGCACAGGCCAGAGCCAAGGCACACATGCACAGCCAAAGCACTTTGCCACACACGGAACCCATCTGATGCTTCCTGGCCACTGCATTGCCTCCACAGCCCAAACCAGTCCTACACTCCTAAGCAGAAAAGGTCATTTGAGCGACCCTGGGCTGGCAAACACCACACAGACAAGCACCTGTCTTCTACAAAGGAGCTAGCATAGTATTTTAATTATACCTGCATCTTCTGCCCTATTGCTTCGGTAATAAACAGCTTCATTACAGGGTCTCCCTGGGAGGAAGGAAGGGGATGATGTGCTGAGTTCATCCAACAGTTAAGAAGGCCAAAAGACCATGAACCAGATTAACATTTTAAGTTGGGCAGTAAATCCTTCCAGTCGATTTGTGCCTTATTTGCTCTGCTCTAATTGAGTAGATTCTGTAGAAGTGAAGGACAGAAGGGGAAATGAAGCACTCCTCCAGAATAGCGCAGTGGAGGAAAGCAGCCATACCTGGCTGAAAGATGGCTGCCCAGTTTCTTTTTGGCTTTCTTCACAAGGTAGTTGCAGATTTCAGTCATCTGCTCCCTTATCCATCTGATATCCTCAGGGATATCTGGTAGCCATTCCAGCAACCTGGGAGACAGGACATAACCATTAGTTGGACCACACAAAGCATAGGAGGGAAAGAACTACTAGACCTTTACTCCCTGTCCAATGGGCCAAGGCAAGAGTTGTTGGGGGAGAGGACAGAAATATGTTCTGGGCAATGGTTTTAAGTGTTAACACTTCTTTTTGTTTCAATAAGAAGAGACCTAGTTTTGCCTCCTATGAACAGTTACTCATTTTTAGTGACAAGGACAATAAGAGGCCTTTCCACCACCATTCATAGAACTGAGGGGGAAGCAGCTGTGAAGGAGGAAAACAGCCCAGGACTTCTTTACATTAGAACCTGCACTTTCCATATTCTCCAACCCTTTTCAGATTTGGAAGATGTCTTTCCTCTGACCCTTTTACCACATACTGCCTCCTTCCAGAAACTTTTCACAGGGTGCCTTGTGCAAATAACAACTCTCTGATGGACCTGCCTTCCCAGATGTACAGTGTAGAGCTGGAGACAGCTAGGACTACTCTACTCCTCACCCCAAAGAGGGGTCACCTCTTGTGTCATTCCTACTCTCATCCCCACACTCTCAGTTCAGAAGTTTTTCCTCCAGGCTCCAAAGTTTATCACCAGTCTCTAGGGCAAGTTCCAGTATGCAACCATCCTCCTTCAAGCTGAAAGTATTGGCTGTAGCTGAGTGACATGGGAGACGGAAATATTTTTGTTCATGTGGCTCCTAACTGGTATGAACACTTTCCCCAGGAACTCTGCACCGCAGTTAGAAAGGATCCTACTCCTCCCTCCATTCATGTTCTACCAGCTATACCAAACACTTGGTTGCACTGGAAAGAAAGCCACCAAAGGAACCAGCTGAAGGCCTACCTGACCGTGAAGGAAACGGCAGACTCCAGAGGCAGCATGTAGGGGATCATCATTGCAGTGGCCACACGTATAGGCAGCATGTTGGAGATACCAGTCAAAAACCCTCTTCTTTCAGCACAAGCCTCCATAAGAGCTGAAGACAGAAGAGAATGTGGCTGAATCCCCTCAGCAGGGCTATCCCTTTCCCTGCCATATCCTGGGAGTTACCCAGCCTGTGATCCCTCCTCTCTACCTCCAGTCCTTAAGGAAGTCTTGCTCAGGGGAATCATTTTCTGAGCACAGCTGAGGAGCAGCAGCTTTTAGCTTTAACAGGCTCCCAAAGAGGCAAGCATCAAGACCCCCTCCTTTCCTTCCCACAGCTCTGCCTCCACAGGCCAAGCCACACCTTTACCTAAGAGGCCCAGACTCCAGCTAAGCACTAGTTGCTGCCAGTTCAATCCCTGGGGAGCAGGATCCAGCCAAGCATAGTCACAAAACATCCCAGCAATCCCCTGTGGGCCAGGCAGCACAGGAAAACTGCCCAGGCTCTCTCCCTTGGGACCATACCTTGGTTCAGTTTGGGAGGCAGGTGTTCAAAGATGTGCTCTTCAACAACAGCAAGGGCAGCATTGTCCTCCAGCTGGTCCTCAGCTTCTGTTTCTCCCTCTTTCTTCTCTCCTGGGGGAGCTTCTATGGCAAGGAGAGGTCGGGCAGGACTTGGACGATGAAGGAGACCTGAGAAAGAAGTCATACCATCAGGATGACACAGACTTGCTGCCCTGTCTGCCTCACCTTTGGAGTGTTAGGCTTTGCTTCACCCTAGCACACTCCTCAGCCAGATAGACATAGTGCCCAGCCTGTTTAGCTTATATCTGTGGTGATGCTTACCACAA